TAATGAAATGTAAAAGATAATTTATCATCAAAACAAAGTTTATTATTCCAAACAAGTAAATAAATTTATTTAAATTTTATAAAAAATCTAAAAATGATTTATTTTAAAAACAATATGTAAATTTGAAATTTATTGGTTTCTTTATTTTAAAAAAAATTAATGAATTTTTTATTTATTTGTTTTTTATATCAATTGATTTAAACGTATAATCAAAAAATAGATTTATACACACCATTGTTGTTTTTGAAGAGCTTTAAAAAAAATAATAATAAATTATTCATTGATTTTAATATAAATACTTTATAAGTAAGTTTATTAAAAATTTTTTTATATTACAATTCAAATTTTTTATTTAATCAAGAGAAATTAAAATAATACAAAAAACCTTTTTTATTCATCCTCTACTGTTTTTATTAAAATATATTGAATTAAAAGGTTTTTTAAGCAAAACACAATTCAGAAGTTTTATAATGAAATTCTATCGTTTATTTAAATGTATTTATATAATTTAATAGATATTAAAGATTAATTTTTTTGGTATACCTCTTAAAAACAAAACATTTTTGTGTTTAGTAGTACTTAAAATTTATTATTTTATTTAGACATACAAAAATAAAGTTAATTCCATATTAAACCCGTTATATATCTTATTTTTAAAATCCATATTATCATAAATTTGTTTTTAATTCATAAATTTTTATGATTTTATGAAAAACTTAAAATCATTGTAAATTAATTCAAAAATCATGTTTTAAACAATAAATTAATGTTTATAATTTATATTGCAACTTTTATAATAAATTACATCATTATAAAAGAAAAAGATTTATCATTAAAAACTTAAATTCATTAATAAAATTAATAAAAATAAAATTTTAAGTAAATTGATTTTTAGATCAATAACAAAAAATTAACATATAATAACATAATTAAATGTGTTTTTAAATTCATTTTTCAGATAAAAATATTTATTTTTTTATTTGTTATTTTATAAAAATACAAAAACGTTTTTATTCCCCTAATATGAATCAAAATACAAACAGACAAGACACTTCAAATTTTGATAAAGATATTATTAATGTAAACAAGGATTGGAATTTTATACAATCTAAAGGTTTAAATTTAATAACAGATGCAAATAACAGAGATAGTAATGAATTTTCTTTGCAAATAAAAACTCAACCAATACAACTTACATTCAGTAACATTAATGTTAAAACAAGCAATGATATATTTTTAATAAAAGATGTATCTGGTAGAATCAAACCAGGAAAATTTGTTGCTTTACTGGGTCCATTTGGATCTGGTAA